AGGATGGATGGATGGATGGATGGATGGATGGATGGATGGATGGATGGAAAAAGACAATATGAACATGCACAAGGTGGTAGGGAGTACTACTACATTCATGATTAACCTATAAATATATGTATACATCCATACACACACATCTAAGCATACATGTATAGTATACATATGTACATGTATATATACATACATGTTACTGTTCTGAAAAGTCTTTAAAAAAAATTCACCTTAAAAGTTCTTGCATTTGACTTTAAGAAAGGTGATTAAGGAATAAGGAATTTATTGTTAACAGGAGTCAATTTTTTTATTATACACTGTTGTAATATTTAAATTTGCTCGTGTTATTTCAACCATATGTTCTTTGAACCAGGTGCCCAGATGATTCCCATCAGCTGGTGTGAGATGCAGTGTCCGTGGACACAGGCCAAGGAGTTCAGGAAAGTGGCGCGCGTGCAACCCGAGTATCTGCAGGCATGAGAGCCTAGAAAGTCTTCTCCACACCACTTGGAACACACAACTTCTTCCTTCATCAAGACCCCCGCGCCCTCAGCCGTAGTGTCTGGGTGACATGTAATCCATTGGCTACTCCTGATTTGATGCGTTGTCTGTAAATAGCTGCTCCGCTGCACATTTTGTCACCGTTTCATTGTGCTCGGTTGAACAGAGATGAGCTGTAAATGCTTTTAGGTTCTTAAAAATGAGTTTATATTTTTTTGCTAACAGAAGTCCTAAGAGCATGTGAGGTAAGTTTCCATTGAAGTCCGTGACTAATTAAAGCAGAAAAGCTGCAGAAAGAGAACTGCACGTTTCTGTCAACGTCCCGCTGATGATAAAGACGTTTATTTTCTTCTCAACAGAGCAGTATTAGAAAGCCCATTGCTAAATCCGACGTTTGATGCAGCTGCTTTGTAAGGAGTATTGAAGTACATGTGATGGTCAAATTCTTGCTTTCCTGCACATAACTGACTGTTTTTGAGCCAACAGTAGGCAAGCTGTAAGTTTCATGTTTATCATAATGAAGCTAATATTTTCTTATTCTTAATAAGTGCAGGAATGAAAATAAAAGACTGTCAAAGTTTCTCTCTGTCTGTTAATTCTTACCGTTTAACCAGTCAAGTATTTTACACCATGTTTTCAGGTTGAGTCTGAAATTTATTTATTTTACTGGCTATTTTTTGCAGTCTTAACTAGTTCTGTTTACTTTTGATGTTTTATTGTTCATATATCCATCTTATTCAAATGAACACTATAACATTTAGTTTTTATAACATTTATACTTAAAAAAAAACACTTAATTTTGTTTTCATATTTTCCCATACAGAACTCTTCAGTTCCTAACAAAACCTTGTTTTGCTTCCAGCTACAGCTCTATTTTTACCTATCATTTTACTACTTTCCTCCAAATTCTTGCTAGCTTTTTGCTACTGTTCTGCTACTTTCAGCTATTGTTCTGCTACTTTCAACTACTGTTCTTTCAGCTATTCTTCTACTTTCAGCCATTCAGCTACGATTCCTACTTTCAGCTATTCTGCTACTTTCAGCTACTCTGCTTTCAGCTACTGTTCTACTTTTATTTAATGTTCTTTCAGCTACTGTTTTACTTTCAGCTATTTTTCTGCTACTTTCAGCTAATGGTCTACTTTCAGCTATTGTTCTGCTACTTGCAGCTACTGTTCTACTACTTTAAGCTATTGTTCTGCTACTTCTTCCTAGTTTTACTTTTGGCCAGCCTTTAGCTCTTTGCTGCTTTTAGCTAGCATTTAGCTCCTTTTAGCATTAACAACTGTTTCAGCTTATTAAGCAGTCATTCAGCACTCTGCATTTTTACAGAAAACACCATTTCTTTGTTTTTTTTTACACCAGTTCAGACAGTAAAACTTTTGGTTTGTTTTTGTAAATGTATTTAAAAAAGCAAAAAAATCTTTAAAGAAGCAGCGTTTTCACACAACAGTGGAACGTGTGCTCGTTTTTTCACTACGCGTTACTAAAGTCTAGTTTCTCTACCTACAAACTGAGAGATTCTGTGTACAAAATGGACAACTTGTAATTGGTTCTTATTTACAACATCTGTAAGTTTAATCCTCCAGTGGAGCCAGTGAACAGATTCATTGTTAAAGACATTTTTGTACAAATATCCACCTCATTAGTCGTCGAAGCGAACTGATCGACTGGCGTTGATGTCGATGGAGAACTTCTTGTTAGACGGGCCAGTAAACCCGAGCCCTGCTCCTCTGTTACTGAAGTCCATTCGTCGTGAGTGGGCTCGCTCAAACTCTCCCAGAAGCCCTTGCTGCAGCTGCTGCTGTGCACCCTTCCCCAGTGCCATGTTGCTTCCTCCAGCTGTGGCCACAGCTGGCTGGAAGCCCTTTTTGAAGCCCCCCATCAGCCGCAGGAACTTCTGCTGCTGTTTGGAGCTGTCAAACTGAGCAGTACTCCACTGGCCTAAACCCTGATGAACAGAAACATTGGGAAGAAAAATATTAATATTTGGTGCATTTAGAGGTTTACTTTCATCTTGCACATAAAATCTCAAACTGTATATTTAAAGATACTAAAACGATTACTGTCGTATATTTATGCACTTTCTTAATCCATCTTTACTAAATAGCTTGTTTCATATTTTTATAACAAAGCACTTTACTCAAGATTGCAGAGGTTTACTCGTGGTTCCTAAAAGTAGAATGGAAGGCAGAGTTTTCAGCTATTAGGCTTCATCACTTGTGAAACCAACTTCCAGTTTATTTCATTGTTTGCACAAAAACGAAACAACACACAAAGGAAGAGATTAAAAAAAAAACGTGCAGGTCGTCATAAACACCCAAAACGGGCTTACAGCCCCGCCCCCTTCTAAAATAATAAAGACCAAAAAAATCATAAAAGCTTTGTACATAGCTCAAAATAAATTTCAATCATCCAAAAATGTTCAAATAATAATAAAAAATAGCATAAGTGTGTGTTAAAAAAACTAAACCTTGTTTCAACTTTCTTTTAAATGCAGATAATGTTGCACATGATTCACTTAGTTGTTTTAAACTTAGCTGTTTCTGTCTGACGCAGACTATAGGATTGAGTCTTTCATTTTTTTTGATAAATCCTATAGTTGGGGATAGCTTGGGTTTCTTGAGCTATTCCTTAGTTCTGCTGCGGTAAGCTTAAGACTGGTGGAGGACAAACCGACCACATCTCCCTCTGCTGTCGTCTTTCTCAACCCTTGTTTGTTTTATCAAGTTTTTCTTCCTATAGAAACCACACCTAAACCAGTCACGTGTTTGTCCGTGTCCTTTCCTACCCAGTCTAGGCAGATGGCCACCCACTCTGAGCCTGGTTCTAGTTCTGGAGGTTTCTTTCTGTTAAATGTGCTGCTCAGGACGGGAGATTGCGACAAACTGAATATTTGACGTAATCTGCAGACTTCCTTACACGGAGAACTTTTACTAATTTACATAAAATAATGTCTGAATGTCCTGAGATGACGTTTGTTGAAGTGGTGCGATATAAATAAACAGAATTGATTGAACTGGATTGGATTACAGAGACATGAGCCTAATTAATGTCCTTATCGTTCAACATGTACATCCAACTGGACTGTAGCTCATATTGCACCCATGAATCTGAACAAGTAAAAAAAAAAAAGAAAATTTGACACTAACTTTTTAAGTTAATGAGTGAATTTAGGGAAGGCCACAACACTGACCGTTGGTTTTTGGGGCTGAGAAGCCTCGTCGACCTCCATTTGTAGAGCTTTTCTTCTCTCCTATAACAAACACATTATTGATCTTGAATGCTAAAAAATATTTTACAACAAACTGAACCTTTATTAAAAAAAAAAAAGTATAAATATAAAATGGTACCACTTAAGTGTTATTAAGTAATACATTCAAACTAAACTGTCGAGTTAATACAGATAAAAGATTCAGTGACTGGAATAATTTTTATTTTTTTATTTTTTTATTATTTCACAATTCTTCAACACTTCCAGACATAAAGCAGACTGAACTTCTTTGCTCCAGAGTTTTCAAATTGTCCCAAACAAGAAAACAGATGTGAAATCTTTTCTCAATAATGGTTTGGAGCCAACAATTAGATTTTAGTTGATTTTTAAATTTTATTTAAAACAGAGTCGGTGAATGCAGCTCTTTGGATGGTTTAGAAACTTTTTTGGCCTTTTATCAGGAAGTTATAACTTTCTGTTGTTAGAGCCAAAGCAGAAAGCCACTGATGCATTGTGGACATGAAGGAACACAACTTGTAAAAACTACGGCTCAACAACATTCAGGTCAGAGGGGAAAATAATTTTACTGCAGCAGTCTTCAGGTACAGTAGTCCCTCGCTACTTCGCGGTTCGATTTACGCGAACTCGCTCAATCGCGGTTTGTGAACGCACAGTACATGATACTGTACAAAAAAAATTGTACAGGACTGTCAACTTTAATATCAAGTGATTGGGACAGTACGGGATACTGTACAGTAAAAAGTTTAAAAAATAAAATACTTCAGACAGGTGCCGCCATTTTGTAGTTTTCTCTCAGTAAACCTCCACTGTATTCCTGCTCATAATGACCACATTTCCCAGAAAGCAACAGGGCACTGCCCAGAACTAGAGGGAAATACTAGAGGGAAAGTTTTGATCTGATCGGCGCCCAGCAGATGCAGAGAAGCTGCATCGAACCCACCAATACGGACCAGAACTGGAGCAGAACCAGACCTCCAGACCCATCAGTGAATCTTGAGAACTGGTGGCCCGTCCACGTGGACCTCCAAGTGGGGATGCATCTTAAGTAAAAATGAGAAGCTACTGTACATATAAGTACGTTGTTAAAATTAGTAGGTCTAACCTCCTAGGACCTGACATCCACATTATAGAAACAATGCATGTCTGCAAGAGTTCAGGTCTAAAGAATTAAGAGTTTAGAACATTGCAAGAATGCGGGAAGTGTTTCTAAAGACTTAAAATATGTATTATTTATTTGTTTATTTTTCTTCTTCATTCGGCTGCTCCCTTCTTCAGGGGTCACCACAGCGAGTCGCACGAAGACTTGGCGATTGTTTTTACGTCAGATGTCCTTCCTGACGCAACCAGACCACCGAGCTACCACAGCCCTCTGTGTGGAGCAGAGAGCTGCTGTCTAGGGCGCCCGGGGGAGCAGGTGGTGGGGGTTAAGTGCCTTGCTCAAGGGCCCAGAGTGGGGCAAATGAGGGTGGAGGCAGGTGTGGGTGTTTCACCTTTCCCACGCACATTTTGATGATGTCGGTACTGGGAGTTGAACCAGCAACCTTCCGATCACAGGCCCACTTTCTCTAACCTCTGCACCACCACTCCCTAAAGCCTTAAAATATGTATAAATACTAAAATAAGTGTAACGTCGCTACTTTGCGGAATTTCACTTACTGCGCGGGAGTTTGGAACCGAGCCCCCGCAATAAACGAGGGGCTACTGTATCTGAAGTCTGGATGAGACGCTTGAACAGGTCCCTGAGATGGAAACTAACTGAAGTTCCTTCAGGTCCTTCAAGTGCCAGACAAACATGTAAGTTGTGTATAAACGTCCATTTCCTGATGAGCCGCTGTGCAAGCAAAGCTCTTTGTTTACCTGATTAATGTCGACCTCGTCGGTGTTTCCACTCGTCTCAGACATGAAAACGACGTCCACCGGAGGAACCATCTGCAACAACAACGACCTTTCTCTGACCTTTCAATAAATAGACCCTCTGACAGTAGAATATGACGACGTCTCTCACCTCTGAGTCTTTCTGTTCTTTCACCTTTTTCTTTTTTCTCACACCGGCCTCCGACGCATCATTGATCTCCTGCTCCACTTTAACTTTTGTCCTTTTGTTTTTCTTTCTGTGTGCGTCAGCGGCGTTTGTCACGTTATTTTCACGGCTCTGCACGTCCTCCTCAACATCATGCTCCCGATGCTTAGCTTTTTTCTTCTTCTTCTTCTCCTCTTCTTGCACACTACACGTTTTCTTTTTGCTTTTTGTCTTCGCCTCTGCTTCCTCGTCTTCTGCGATCATTTCTTCGTCTATAAATTTGTCTCTTTTCTTCCTGTGACTTTTGTCTTTTTTCTTCTTGCTTTTCATCTCGGCTGCTTCGTTCTTCACCTCTTTCGTCTTCTTTTTCAATTTTACCTCCTCAACTTCAACCTCCGGTGTTTCTAACGCCACTCCATTTTCCTCTACTTTAGCTTTCCTGTTGCTTTTTGTTTCCGTAACATCTGTAGTTACAGTGTTTCTCTTTTTCTTTTCTGTAACACATCCCTCAGTTTGCTCTAGTTTTTTTAAGTTCTTGTTTTTCTTTCTAATCTCCTTTTCGACAAGTTTTTCCTCTTCTTCTTTATTTGTATTCTCCAATTTGATTTGTTCAGATTTATTTACTTTATTCTTTTTTCTTTTTTCTTTATTTACACCCTCCTGAACATTTTCTACTTCATCCTTCATCTGCTTCTTCTTTTTGCTCACACTCTTCTCTTCCTCATCCATGTCAATGACGTCAAGTTTCCTCTTTTTCTTCTTCTCGTCCTGCTCAACACTTTGATCCCAACATGTCTCTTGTTTCACCGCCCTGTTCACCTTTTTACTTTTTTCTTTTATCACTTCTGTGGTACAGTTTTTACTTTCAGGTTGAGATGTTTGTTCTTTCTTATGCTTCCTCTTCTTTACAAGACTTCCTTCATTGGTCTCCTCCTCCATCTTTGTTTCCTGTAGCCTCTTTATAGCGACAGTTGCGTTTGCCTAGTTCAAAATATTAATAAAACCAATTATAACTTGCAAAAAAACAAAACAACAAGTGTACATTGAAATGCTTGATGTATGATCAGCATGCCTCGGCAGACTTTTTCGAGCAGCTGAAATTTAGGCCTAAAAGCATTCGAAACTAATATGCCTCTACACAGAAGTTGCACAAGAAAAAGGAGTCATAGCATCATGTCCTGACGGTCATAAACAGTTATATATTTAAATGGATTCAACAGGATGAAGTAATCTGTGGTGGTCTATCTGTATAAACAACAACACAGAGTTTCTGAAGGTGCGTGACCAACAGACTGAGCTGTTTTATCAGGCGCACTGCGATGCTTTGAACATTTATGTTTTATGGGTGAAAGAATAAACTTATTATTAATTGATGAATAAATAATTTGATGAATAAACTTGTTTAAAACTGATGATAAAATGATGCGGAAAAACTGGTTCATGCATTTGTCACGTCTAGACTGGACTGTTGCAATGGTTTATTATCTCGGTTTAAAAGTCTTCAGTTGATCCAAAATGCTGCTGCCAGAGTCTTAACTGGAGTTAGTGGGAGAGATCATATCTCTCCAGTTTTAGCTTCTCTCCATTGGCTCCCTGTCAAATCCAGAAATAAATTAAAAATCTTACTTCTGACCTACAAAGCCCTCAACAACCTAGCTCCATCTTATATTTGAGATCTTATTGTTCCATATTTTCCTATCGGAGCACTTCGCTCTGAGCCTGCAGGCTTACTTGTGGTTCCTAGAGTTTCCAAAAGCAGAATGGGAGGAGGATCTTTCAGTTATCAGGCTCCTCTCTTGTGGAACCAACTTCCAGTTTCTGTCCGTGAGGCTGACACATGGTCCAGTTTTAAGACTGGACTTAAAACTTTCCTTTTTGATCATATATATACCCTATAGTTAGGGTTGGCTTGTTATGCTGCTACAGACTTAAGACTACTAGAGGACAAATTGACCTAATTTCCTTAAATTAATTGTTAAAATTGAATAGTTTTCATATGATACCAGTTCTATCTTAACATGTGATTCTTGCCCTGCCATTGTGTATCTGTTCCTCTCAAACCCAGCCAGTTGAAGCAGATGGCCGCTTGTCCTGAGCCTGGTTCTGCTCAAGGTTTCTTCCTCATGAGGGAGTTTTTCCTTTCCACTGTCGCCTTCATGCTTGCTCAAGATGAGAGTCTGCAATGGAGTTAAATTCAAAGCAGTCTGCTCCTCAGATAAATAATGTTAAATTATTATTTTTATATATGAATGTTTCTGTTCAGTGCCCTGGGATTACTTCTATTTTGACTGGGTGTTGTGTAAATAAACTGAATTGAATTGAATTAAAACGTGGCGTGGCATGACGACCCATTGCTCGTGACTTTTTGACATTTGTATTAAACACAGATTTTCATGAATCTTGTCTAGTTCCCAACACATACCAGTTTAAAATGATGCTTGTGCTGCAAGGCTTCCAGCCTCCATGACTTTATGTAATGAACCAGTTTATGTTTACTGGGAGATCAGATTGTAACTTACATACATATATTGTCTGATTTTTGTTTTCTTTCTTGGGATTAGCGTGATATGAACTGTTAAACACGTGAAACACATCAGGCTGGCTCCATGTCTCACTGAGCCGCTCGCTTGTTTCTGATACTTTGTGCAAATTGCACCATTAAAACCCACCACGAATCTGCCCAATGATTTACTTCCTTATGATCAGGTACCAAAGTAGTGACATCACATCGGCACTTGTAAAGCTTCGGACGTTATTGATCACGTGACGTTTGTGCAACGAATCAAGCTCCGGCACAGAGCTTCAGAAACTGTGTAGTTTATTTTGATACATGGCCCGGAGACGGCCCATCACTGCTAAAAGTCAAATTATTAAACGTTAAACATTAATCTGTTACTTACAATTGAAAAAAAAAATTAGTATTAATATATTAAAAACAATCTTGAATGTGTGCCTAAAAGCATTTGGAACCAACGTAGCTTCATCCCCAGGTCGGGAACAATTACAAATTTAAATGGCTGTAATAGGATGAAGTCATCAGGGTAGTTTAAAATGATGGAAGACTAAATACTACTGTAATCAATCAATCCAGCCATCTGAGCTGACCTGACTGAGGAGGGATTTGAACCCGGGTTGTCGGGCAAGTCCTCACTCCTCTCATCCATTCACTGAGAAAGCTAGCAGCGGACGTGCTCGTTGTTTTTGCACGTGAGGCCTGCGCACCTCTTGTCTGTCAGCAGGGCGATTAGTTCTGTTGTTCTAGAGTCAGAACCGTGACTATGGTGGCTGGAGACGGAAGACACACAAACTTAAAAGCTCTGCTCAGATTTTGCTACACATGAATGAACCTCGTGTGAAAAATAAACAGTTAAATAATTATGCAAGTAATTTAAAAATAACTTGCTAATTATATTTTTTATTGTTGAAATAGTCAAATCTTATCTCAAGAATATTATCTAAAAGTCAACCCACTCAACTTTTATCTATTACTTTCAGTGTAAAAGCGACATGATTGAATTTATATTTAAAAAATCTGAAATATCTAAATATAAAATTATTAAATATATATATATATATATATATATATATATATATATATA